ACCAACACTCCTCATTTCTGGGCCTGGGTTCCTCAATGTTCCAAGGAGGCCCTTCTTATCAGCCTCCTCAGCTCCCCTGGACACCCTGACAGCTCCACTCTCATGAACACTTTGTCCTTGTGGATTTTCTCTAGGCTAGTTTCCAGGGTTAGGTCAGCAAGTCAGGCACAAACATGTAAGGTAGAAATACCACCTTCATTGTTATGACTTTATAAATTATACCTGAGGCTCAGAGGGTTTAAGCAACTTACCTAAATTTATATAGCTCACAAGTAGTAAGGCTGGTGCCTGTCTTAGTCATTTTCCTTTTCTCCAAGACACAATACCCAACACCCAGAAATTAAAGGAGAAAATGTTTATTTTGCAAAGCTCACGGTTTTTGAAGGGTTCAGTTCATGGTTAGTTGGCTCTAAGGCAGGAAGGACATGGTGGAAGGGTCTAGTAGAAGAAAACCGCTCATATTGTGGCAGCCAGGAAGCAGAGAGAGAAGGCAGGAGCCAGGGAGAGAGACGTATTCTTCCAGGTCACGTCCCTGTCACATATTTCTCCCAAGGATGCTTCACTTCTTAAGAGCACATTCGGCTATGAACTCATTAGTGCTTGAATCCACTGATGAGTACAGTGCCCCCATGATCCAATCACTTTCCACCTCTGAGCACATGAGAATTGTGAGGGGACATTCTAGACCTAGAACATAATTGCTGGATTCTCCAAAGTATGTATATATATTTGTTTGGACACTTGAAATCCTAATAGGAAGACAAACAATATGTTCCAAACATGGCACAAGCAAGATGGGCCATAATGGGAGCTCTGTGGAGTATTACTGGAAGCAGGAGTATGTGATAGCTGGGAGATAGGAAAAGTTCATGGAAGTGGTGATAACTGAGCCTGGAAAAAAAAATCACAGGAAGAGATGAACTGGGAAAAGCCACCCAGGCAGAAAAGAGCAGCTACTGGGAAATAACCAATAGCAGTGAGCTACACAAGGGAGCAGAGAAGGGAGGGAGGTGAGGTGGAGGAGGTGGGGTCAGATGCTCCCAGTGCTGATGTGTTTCTCTAAGGTATGTACTCCCTGCCCTGTAAAGATTGGGGAGTCCTCTGGGTTTTTAAACAGGGAAGTTACAAATATTAAATCTGTCAGAAAGAAAATGCTTGTCATTGTGGAGATGGGACTGGGAAGGGAACAATGGAGACATCTCCAAGTCCCACCCTCCCCCAATATACTCAGTATGGTTCTCACTTTCTTTTATTGAGAGAGCTGCAAAAGGTACTGGACTTTGGAGCCACAATCTGTTTCATCTTCTTGTTCCCATGCACCTACATACCTACTCATCTACCTACAGTATCTGATGAATAACAACTGAGAGCTTACAGTGTGAAAGGAATCATGCTGTGTTCTGAGGACTAAGAATGAATAATACTGACATCTCATCCTGGCCATCCTCAGGCTTAGGGTTCAAAGGAGAAATAAGGCAAGTCCACAGGCTCTTCCAGCACAGCAGGTATATGATAAGGGATGTACAGGAGGCTCATACAGGAAGCTCATGGGAGGACAGGAAAAGAATATCACAGTGCCTTCAGGAACCAGCAGAAGTTCAGAGGGTCTGGGGCACTGGGGGAAGACAGTGTAAATAGAAGGGCTGGAGATCTGAAGACTGCAGTGGGCCAAATCCTGAAAAACCTTGTTCAGAAGCTTATCTCAAGGGCAGTGAGAAACAAATACATTCCACCAGGGTGTGACATGATAAGATGACCTTGCTAGCTTCTTGGAGAATAACAGTGGAAGAGCTGACCGCACTGAATACTTATTAGTCTATGCTGAATGCACCACAGACATTAGTTTACTTAACCCTCACAATTCCAAGAGGTAGGTTCTAATTTTTTTTCTTTGTAGTCCCGAGGATTGAATCCAGGGCCTTTGCAGTGAGCTACATACCCAGCCCTTTTTTATATTTTAACTTTTGAGACAGGGTCTCATTAAGTTGCTAAATTACCCAGGCTGGGCTTGAACTTGCATTCCTCCTGCAAGTGCTGGAATTACTACACTTGACTGTAGGTTCTGTTATGATCCCCACTTAAAGGTAGAAGAGAGGTAGTGAGAGATAGTCATATGTTCCAGGATGAATCCAGGCTCCCTGACTGGAAGACCAATACAGTGACTGATGTACTAGAGAAGCAAGTAGGTTTGAAAACTAGGGCTTGATACTTTGGATGGAAATAGGAAAGCAGAAATAGTAAATAATGATCCTCCTGTCACACTTTGAGTTAGAATTCTGCTCCCCACTAGCTGGTGGCCTCATTTTCATTCTTTAGTGCAAAAAATCATCCTCAGATTTAGGTGTGCATAGATATATACCTGGCCTCATTTCAGGAAGGATTTGAGATGGCTTATAAGAAAAACCCAATATAATGAGAAAAGAACTAAAACTATAAAAAGAGGCCCCATCTACTAAGGATTAAGATGGCACACAATTCCCAGCCTATGGTCTAGCATGTAGTGTTTCATGAGTTTTCAAGGTTTTATTGGTACCCTCTGGCCTTCATTCAACATACCCAGTTTTTTATATGCCCCTCTTTCTCACACAGGGTCTAGATTTCCATATTCTGTCCTGGTTATTCCAAGTCATCACCCCACAATGACATCATTTTGTCCTCACCCTGCCTATTCTTCCTATCCATAGCTTTTTCTCTCCTTTGTTCTTTACCAGTAATTCCCAATTTTGCATCTCCAAGGAGATTCTTTATTGATACCTCCATACATGCCAATGATTTACCAAAGTGCATGTGTAGATTTATCTTTGTCTTTATTAAAATAGATTTATGTGTTCTGAATATAGCCAATCGGAGATGATATCCAAACAGTAACTAACTTGATAGAGTCTTTATAACTTGATACAGTGAGTTCCAGTTCAAAGTGAAAAAGTGATATTACAGGTGACCTGGGAAGATTTCATCTACAGTCGTGTAGGATTTCCTTTAGGCTTTCTGAAATAATAAAAACTGTTCATGGATTTCTAGTAATACCTTTTGGGTCTCTTAAGATTCTCAGGTCTCTGGTTATAAATAAAGGGACTTCAATTAGTATAGTTCCTCCCGACCCCCAAACTTAGAAAAAAGTCCTATAAATAGCCCAGACTTCCAAATTCTAGGTCAAATCTTCTCTTCCTTCTCCACTTTCTCCTCCTCCCATTAAAGCCTAAGTTCAGCTCAGAAATCTGCTATCCAGAAGCTCTAACATTTGCAGCCTCCTACAAGCTCTTCGAAAATTTATTGATGGCTCTTGCTTTATTGTTATGAAAATTTTTGGTTTAAAGCTTTATCTTCTATTCAGTGCATAAGTTCACTGAGTAATAATAAAAACAATGACAGTTACTATTAGTGAACCTCCTACTTGTATCTCCCAGATACTATACCCAGGCCCTTTATCTCATTGTATTTTGCTCCACAAGTATCCTATGAGAGGTATGCATAATCATTTTCATTTCACAGATGAAGAAATTTACATTTAACTGATTAATACTTTACCTAAAATCATTCAGAGATGAAGCAGTGCAACCGAGATTTGTACTAAGGTCTACTTGGTTGCATGGTTCATGTTAACCACTTCCTCAGTGTGGTCAACAGCATCTAACACAATGGTGGACTGGGGCAAGGGGACACTCAACTGACCAAGAGCAGAGGAAGACTTGGGGACCAGCCTTGGGATTTGATGGGATATAGACAAAGTAGCTGATTGCCACAATGGCAACATATGCTGTATAGACTGTTACTATTGGATTCCAAGTACCAACTGCCTGGTTTACTTCTACTTTGCTAGAATAACAACTACTCTGGGCATCTGAGCCCTGCCTCTTCCACCATTTCACCCTCATTTTGGCCTTCATCTTTTCAGAACAGGTCTTCACTAGGGCTGTAAAAGCTGCTATTATTTGGAAAAGACAATCACACTGGAGATGTGTTTCTGGGTTTACTTTAGCCTGACTTCTCATGCCCTCCACTTTTGCTGACAAAAAGAAGGTCCAGGTAGTGGCACTCAATCCTCCACCATACAACCTGTGTACAATCTATAAAAATGCAACATGTTGCATTTTTGCTCAGCTTGGCTCAAGTGTCTGTGAGGGTTCTCTCCTGAGCAATGGTGGAGTTGAAATTCTTAAAAATGCTGATGTTGAAACAAACACCAGACCAAGTCAGGTGACATGCCATTGGGGATACCAGGCTAGCAGCCAGACTTGTAACTGACAAGATATGGGAGCTCAAACAATCACTTATCTCTGAACTTTCTTCACCTGTAAAATGAAAGTGATTAATTATACAGGTGCTAAGGTCCAGTCCAGCCATAGACTTTGGAATATTATGGATTCATTCATAGTTGGGCAGGTAAAAAAGGCTAGAGTATTTTCTAGGTTTGTATGTGTCCCCTTCAAAATTCAGGTGTGATGGTATTAACAAGTAGGAATTGGAGAGGTAATTAAAGCAGAGTGTTCCTTGTTCATTAATGGGGTAAGGCCCTTAGAGTCTTTACAAAGCATTTGATTAGCTTGCTAGCTTGCTTTTAAGCCATGCAAGGACTCAATTTTCTGCCTCTCTAGAGGATATAGTGTCATCAAACCATGAAAAGCTGCTAGTTCCTTGATTCTAGATTTTCCACCTTTCAGAACTGTATGCAACAAATATTTGTGTTCTTTAGGTATTTTATTGTGGCAACACAAATAGATTAAGATAAGGTGCAATTCTCAGTGTTATATGTGGTAGAGGTGAATGTGAAGCCTGAGAGGTTAGAAAGTCCCCCTTCCAAATGGAACAATGGAATCCCAGGCACTGAGGACTGTTCTCAGATGAAAACTCCAAAAAACCACATAACTGGCCACCAATCTATAAAACAGGTTCTATACCTGCCAGCTCATTTATTCTTGCAGGATGAGGATAACCTCACTCATCTCCAGCTTTGTCTGTAGACACAACAGTAACATTATGATAACTGGGTCTAACTTTACCTCTTTTACTTTTAGCTTGACAGCAGGCTGAGTGATGATTCTATGCTTGCTACCGCTGAGACAAAGTTTCCTTGTTGAGATGGAGGCACCAGGCTGGTCCAAGAGATGGGGGCAAGAAAGTCTTTGACAATCTTCATTGAATCCATGTAATCTCAGAACCAGGCTATTCAGGCACTCAAGCCCACATCGATATTTTTCTAGCATCTAAAGCCAAGTAGGCAGGACTGTGCTTTCTGTCTCCAGTACCATGCTGAGCACCTATGGGGGACAAGTACACAGAAGAGACTCAGAGGTGTCACAGACTGAATCTTCTATTCCAGAAGCCACAGAACCTACAGGAGGGTTGGTGTCTATGTGATGTGAAAAAGCTGGAGCCACACCAGGAAAACCAAGTAGGCCATAGCACACTATTTCCTTTCTTCTAGTTGACCACAGCTCTTGTTGTTTTAACAAGTACTGATGAAAATAACATTTTGAAAACCCAGGGCTCTATTCTTGCTTTTAAGCTATGCCCCACTAATCTGATGGGGAATACTCAAGGGACAATTCAGTTTCAAAACCACACAGGGAAAAATAGCCATAGAGATAATTTATTAACTTAACATTTCATACATGTACAAATATTTGCTGACATTAAAAACCACACACTGAGCCGAGGATAAAACCAGACCCTCTACCTCCGTCAGCAGATTGCACTCAGCTCTGCTCATTTGGGCTTCTCTACTTCCCATGGTCTCCAGTCAGCAAATCTTCAGGATGCTTCTGATGCTGGAAGCAGGGACAAGTGAAAAGAGTGGCTCTGCAGAAGGGAGTTTCTCCCTCCTCATGACATTTGGGGTGCTCTGGATAAGTTCCCCGCTGTGAGGATCAGGTTTGGATAAACACAAGTGTACCTCCTGGAAGAGTGATGTCATCAGTTTTCTTTGATCAACTTTGGTTTTTTGGAAATCATATACTTAGGGCTTTACTTAGGGAGTTTCAATGGACATACTCTGTGGCATTTTATAAGCACTGATTATTTTTTCTTTTACAGGGTGAGCAATGCTGTAGCATTCATTACCTGTGGAACCTTCAATATACGTCCAGTCTTGCTTTGGGTAAACTATCTAGGGGCAAAGCAAGCAAATCCCAACCAGTTGCTGTTGGGAGCACTTAATTCCTTTGTGCTAGACCCTTTCTTGGTGCGACAGTGTGCAATCAGGTCAAGCCTGCAGGCTCTTCAGCAACATATATAACTCAAAGTAAATTTCATACAGATTAAAATTTTAATATATATATTATTCTACTTATAGTGAAGACATTAGAATATGTACAAATTCACACCCAATTGCCCTCACACCAGGGCCAGGGATTTAGCTCAGTGGCACCATGCCTGCCTCACAAGCACAAGGTCCTGAGTTTGATTTCTGGTACTGAAAAAAAAAATGCCCTCATACCAACATAAACATAATGTCTGCAAGATACAGAAAGACACAGAAGAGACTGTGGTGGGGCAGTGTGGCATAGGGGAACTTTGTTGACTTAACAGTATGTTGACTAAAATCCCTCTTTTCTCCTCTGAACTATCCATTTGGGGGAAGTAAAGAAGTAAACTCCATTTTCTGGCATGTGACCTCTGAAAAGCTTTAGTTTTTAGGTTCTGTTTATGATTTGTGTAAAGGCAAACAGATTCTTTAAAAAATTACTTGTCTTGATTTTTCTGGATCCTTTCTCTCCATAGAGCAGGAAGGACATGGGTGTCCAGAACAAGTGTCTATGGTTATGGCTGGTCTATGGTAGAAAAATACAATTGAGCTGGTTGTTACACATGGGGTAGGGAGAATATAGTTCTGGAAATCTAATTGAAAGAAGATGGCTGATTCTCTCAGTCTGTAGACATTTTTATCACACCAAAGAAAGCACAAGATTCCAAAGGCAAAATGTGAGGAGACTGATTTGGTTACTCTCAAAGGGAAAAACTTTAAAAGGAAACTAACCTGCAATGATTTTCAAGTTTTCATGGGAGTGACTACAACTAGTTAGTCCTAACTTTATATTTACCTCAGATTAAAAATATGATGTTGGGAGGTTCCATTTTTCTCTCCTCCAAAGAACAAAAAGACTCAAATGAAGGAAGCCTGTGTAGAGCAACAGGGACAGGTTAAATCCGAAGAGACAAGGAGGAAAGGAGGCTGCTCAACATGGCTTTCCTAGTCAGAGCACATGATGGGGCCTGGCCAGTACAAGGCCTTTCATCCTCAGAGACAAAGAGGTAAAAAGGGACAGAGTTCCTCTAGTGATGTCTTCCCTAGATACAACCATGGGAACTTTAAGAGTACTCAACATGGGCTGGGGATTTAGCTTAGGGGTTCTGCCACCTGCCTCACAAGTGCAAGGACCCAAGTTTGATCCCCAGTACCAAAAAAAAAAAAAAAAAAAGTGCTCAACATGTGCTCAGGGGTGAACAAATCTGACACTTGGATCAACCAGAAATACTGCCTAGAGCGTGCTTTTATTCATCCTGGAAAATGGAGGAGTGATCACCTGAAAATTGGTAGGAAAAATGTTCCAGGTTCGTCTCTCCAGTATATTTCTCTAGGCAATCATTATCATATGTGATTTAATGCTACTTGTTTCCAAGATTTCCTTTGGTTTTTCCCTCTAGTCAATAGAGCCTTTTGCTTATGGATGGGGAGCCACCAAGATGATTACTCCTCTAAGATTCACTCACAATTGCTCCCCACTGTTGCTTGTAATAGTAAGGGCACCGACTCTAACTTCTGAATTAAATGGTCACACTCAGATCAAAGTGGTGGTGAGAGAATAGGATAATGATGATGGCAAAAGTCTTTCTGAAATAGTTTATGCTATAAAAAGGCTACTTTTATATTTGAGGGAGTTACCAGTGGATAGGTTTTGCCTGTGTACAAAAGAAAGCCAACTGTTTTCCAGAAGAACTGAGAAGAAAACGATTGAAGTGGTGCTGTATATATAATGGTGTTGACTCTGATGAAACTAAGCAAGGTTCTAATGTCTGTTTGGCATTAAAAAAAAAAAAAAAAAAGATGCCATCCCCCAGCCTATCTCCCTTTAGTGTGTTATTTATTGATTGGGCTGATGAAAAACATCCTAGGTTGTCAGAATGATTTCTATATTTAAATATAACAAGATGCCAGTGAGATAGGTCCTGTAAAAGGAGAGATACAATTATTTGCAATTAAATAATTTAACATCCTAGGTCAGTATGTGAAGAAACCTGAAAATTTCCTATGAAAATTTCATAGCCTGTGTTTCAGAGTCAAATGAAAAATATATCTTCCAGAATTTGTTTCTCCTCTAGGTCTTCAGGGATTTTGCAGGCCCCCGTCTTCTTCCAGGGTGATTTCTGAGGACTAAGTTGGAAAGTACTGTGATTCCATGTCCCAGCTTCTCTGGAGGGATGAATCTGAGGTTTGGAAGCAGAGTTTGGGCTCAGAGACTGAACCAAATCCAACAGAGATGTCTCATACCTGTCAGACACAAAACCCAGACATAAAAGGATCAGGCTATCAGAACACTGGAATCCAAGAAGCTAGTTATGAGCTACCAAGGGCAAGAGTTGAATCATAGATCACATCATATGCTCTAAGAAGCCTCCTTGGGGAAACTTTAGGCAAAGAACACACAGAAAAGTTTCAAAAGTAAGGCCCCCACTGTCTGTACGTTGGCTATTCTCTTCTGCTAACCTCTAACACTCCTTCCTAACTTATAAAGAGAGTAGGAAAAATAAGCATGATACAGTAATAGAAATATCTATCACTTATTGCAAAGTATGTCCAAAGAGACAGTGGCTCCATCATCTGAAATATGTAGGATTCTCTCCCATCATGACTGGGCAGAAAGGGAATGAAAAACTATACATAGATCTTCCATAACCTTGAAGTGGTACAATACTTCTCATTATATTTGGTTGCTCAGAAACAGTTATTCTCTCCAATAAGGGGAAGGGAACTGGGTACTGGCAAATATTATTAATGCCTACCCATTGAGCAATAGGTCTTCGACATAATTTAGAATAGTTCTCTTACTTTGTAGATAAGGAAACTGAGGCCCAGAAACATACACATGAACTGGGATCACCAAGCAAATGAGTGGTTTTAAACCCTAGGCTCCTTTGCTGGGCATGGTGGCTCACGCCTATAATCCCAGCAGTTGGGAGGCTGAAGCAGGAGGATCACTCTGAGTTTGAGACCAGCCTGGGCTACATAGTGAGCTCTAGATCAGTCTCAACTACATAGTGAGACCCTGTCTCAAAAAACAAAAAACAAACAAACAAAAAACCCACCCTAAAACCCCAATAAACCCAAGGCCAAGTCTCCTTTACTTTCCAGACTAGTGTGCCTTCAGTCTTTCTACCCAGATAAAGAGGTAAAATTAAAACTACATCCCCTGTCTTTTTTTTTTCTTCCCCTAAATAATACTAATACTTCCCCTAAATAATACTACTGGCTAGAACGTCCAGGGCAATGCTGAATGTCTGCATTTTCTGTGACTTGTAGTTGGTCCACTTAATGTAGAGAAAACAAACAAACAAACAAACCACCACAAGCAAACAATGGTTCTGATATAGATTCTTAATCACTAACTCTCAGTGCTGAACAGTTCTGGTGGATCTACTGTGTTTGTTTGTTTTGTTTTTGAGACAGGGTCTCACTGGGTAGTTCAGGCTGGCCTCAAACTCACAGTGATCCTCCTGCCTCAGTCTCCCAAGTGCTGGGATCACAGGCATGTGCCACCACACTATATTTCTTCAATTGGCTATTTCATTTTCCTCATTTCCTTTTTTCATCATTTACCTTAAACTCATGGCTTTGCTTTCTACTTCAAAAAAAAACAGAGGTTATCAAGTAGAATTTGTCTTTATACTATCAAATTTACAAATCTTTCAGTGCTCTTGTTTTCTCATTGTATATCAAAGGAAGTGATCCTTTCCTTAAAGAAGGCCAATTATTCCAATTTTGCTTCTTATGGACCTTATAGTCTTTGCTATTCACTCCTGAGCCTTTTAATCTTTTCCTACTTAGTAGAAAACCAAGAACAGAGAGGTTCTTTCTATAACTGAATAATTTCTCAATTTATTTGGATTTGACATTCACTTTCTACCACCCCAATACAAAAAAAATTATCAGTGATTTTCATGTTGCTAAATCCAATAAACTGTATGTGTCTAATCACTTATTAATAAACTTCAAATTGTTTTATTGAAGTAAAACATACATCAGAAAAGTATACCTGTTTAA